TGTTTGGCGGGCCCAGGCTGGGGATTCGAACCCGCCACCTTAGGTGTATGTGGCTGGCGCCTTAGCCACTTGAGCCACAGGCGCCGAGCCGATGCTTTGCATTTAAATGGGTTCTGGAGACAAGACAAAAAAAGGTTAAGACATCATATGCTCAAAGTAGGATTAGATTATTAGCTTTACCACCCAGTACCATTACTGTCTGGGGAAGATATAGAATTGACCTGCATTGCATACTACCTGCATCAACCACACTGAGTCACTGTTCTGAGAGATTTCAGTACAAGGAGTGCCAGAAACAGTTGTTATCAGGAATACCATCAAAACATAGTAGAGCATAACATAACCTTTTCAAAGCAGATAGTAACAACCATCTAAGTATGTTTATTATGAGATATCTGAGGAAATGACTACATTTCTCAAGCCTGGGAAATCTTTTGTGATTTTTCTTCTTTCGAGACAGAGTCTTACTTTGTCACCCTCGGTAGAGTGCTGTGGCATCATAGCTCATAGCAACCTCCAGTTCTTGGGCTTAAGCGATCGATTCTCTTGCCTTAGCCTCTCAAGTAGCTGGGACCACAGGTGCCTGCCACAATGCCCGGCTTATTTTTAGAGACGGGGTCTCACTCTTGCTCAGACTGGTCTTGAATCTGTGAGCTCAGGGCAATCCCCTTGCTTCACCTCCCAGAGTATTAGGATTACAGGCGTGAAATACCGAACCCAGCCCTGGGATTTATTTTCAAATAGTTATTCTGTGTGTGTGTGTGTTTTCTTGGGTTGTAAAATATTTATTAAATGTTTCATTTTGTTAAAAATCTCTAAAAACATTCAGAAGTTGCAAAACTAAAAGTTGAATAGTATAAATAAATGTGACACACATGATAGCAGTTTTGTTTCCTGATCTAGGCCCATCACAGAAAATTCTTATTACCCCTTATCTTTGCTAGTGATATCAGTTCCACAGTCATATTCTGAAATCTTAGTCAGATGCAGGGCAAAACATTGCACCTTGATACATCCAGCTGGTTGGGGCATGGTATGCTCTGGATTTTATTCCCTTTTTTGCCATGAATTTAACCCTTCACTTACAGTCCCTTTCATCAATTCTGAGCTCCCTACTATCACCTGGAAAATCTAAATTTGGAGGGTCTCATCGTCAACTACTGCCTTCAAAGAAGTCTTTAGCCATATGAAGTACACTTCTAACTTCTGCGTCATCTTTTTCTTTGATATCTACTATCATACATTTCTGTACTCACATCACTTGCCTTTCTAATATTTTCACCTGAAGGAAATTCTAAAAACATTTTAAATTTAAATATCTTTTTTTGTTTGTTTTTTTAAGACAGAGCTTTACTATGTCACCCTGGTAGAGTGCCATGGCATCATAGCTCACAGCAACCTTAAACTCTTGAGTTCAGGCTATCCACCCAAGTAGCTGGGACTAGAGGTATCTGCCACAATGCCTGACTAGTTTTTTTTATTTTAGAGATGGGGGTCTAGCTCTTTTTTTTTTTTTTTTATTGAGACAGAATCTTACTCTCTTGCCCTGGTAGAGAGCTATGGCATCATAGCTCACAGTAACCTCAAACTCCTAAGCTTAGTTAATTCTCTTGCCTCAGTCTCCCAAGTTGCTGGGACTACAGGCGCCTGCCACAACACCCAGCAATTTTTTTGTTGTTGTTGTCTTTGTTGTTTAGCAGGCCCAAACAGGGTTCGAACCCACCAGTCACGGTGTTTATTGCTAGTGCCCTAACGACTGAGCTATGGGCACTGAGCATATTTTTTTATTATTATTATTTTTATTGTTTGGGATTCATTGAGGGTACAAAGAATTATGTTGTACTGATTGCATTTGTTAGGTAAAGTCCCTCTTATAATTGTATCCCACCCCCAAGAGGTGTGCCATACACTGTGACCCTCACATTCTCCTCTATTCTCCCCCTCTCCCCACTTGTTCATTTCTTACTCCTGCTCCCTTATATTAGCTCATCTACTGCCTTCATATTAGAATAGAATACACTGAATTCTTGCTTCTCCATTCTTGGTTTTTTTTTTTAGAGACAGAGTCTCACTTTATTGCCCTTGGTAGAGTGCTATGGAGTCATAGCTCACAGCAACCTCCAACACCTGGGCTTAGGCCATTTTCCTGCCTCAGCCTCCCAAGTAGCTGGGACTACAGGCGCCCACCAAAATACCTGGCTATTTTTTTTGTTGCAGTTTGGCTGGGGCCGGGTTTGAACCTGCCACCCTCAGTATATGGGGCTGGCTCCCTACTCACTGAGCCACAGGCCCTGCCTTTGCATCTCCATTCTTTTGATGCTTTACTAAGAAGAATGTATTCCACCTGCATCCAGGTTAATACAAAAAATGTAAAATCTCCATCTTTTTTTTTTTTTTTTTTGAGACAGAGCCTCAAGCTGTCCCCCTGGGTAGAGTGCCGTGGCATTACAGCTCACAGCAACCTCCAACTCCTGGGCTCAAGCGAGTCTCCTGCCTCCGCCTCCCAAGTAGCTGGGACCACAGGCGCCCGCCACAACGCCCGGCTATTTTTTGGTTGCAGCTGTCATTGTTGTTTGGCGGGTCCGGGCTGGGGATTCGAACCCGCCACCTTAGGTGTACGTGGCTGGCGCCTTAGCCCGTTGAGCTATAGGCACCGAGCCAAATCTCCATCTTTTTAATGGCTGAATAATATTCCATGGTATACATGTACCACAGCTTGTTAATCCATTCTTGGGTTGGTGGGCATTTAGGCTGTTTCCACATTTTGGTGATTGTAAATTGAGCTGCAATAAACAGTCTAGTGCAAGTGTCCTTATGATAAAAGAATTTTTTTTTCTTCCTGGTAGATGCCTAGTAATAGGATTGCAGGATCAAATGGGAGGTCTAATTTGAGTTCTTCGAGGATTCTCCATACTTCCTTCCAAAAAGGTTGTGTTAGTTTCCAGTCCCATCAGCAGTGTAAAAGTATTTCCTGTTCACTCTCCTTGACTCACACCTGTAATCCTAGCACTCTGGGAGGCTGAGGCATGTGGATTGCCTGAGCTCTCAGATTTAAGACCAGCCTGAGCCAGAGTTTCCCCACATCCACGCCAGCATCTGCAGCTATGCACAGCTATCTATACACATAAAGGTATTCATTTTTTTAAAAGTCACATAGACTCGTTTATTCTGCTCTTTGCTTTTTTCCACTTAGCTATGTATTTTATTTTATTTTTTATCCCATAATCTCCTTCAGGATAGTTTTGTATTTTATTATAATAATTATTATTATTATTTTAGACAGAGTCTCAATTTGTTGCCCTTGGTAGAGTGCCGTGGCATCAACTCACAGTAACATCGAACTCTTGGCTCAAGTGATTCTCTTGCCTCGGCCTCCTGAGATAGCTGAGACTATAGGTGCCAGCCACAACACCTGGCTATTTTTTTTTTTTTAGACAGGGTCTCACTCTGGCTCAGGCTGGTCTTGAACCTGTGAGCTCAGGCAGTCCACCTGCCTCAGCCTCCCAGAGTGCTAGGATTACAGGCATGAGCCAAGGAGAGTAAAAATTTTCCTTCCCATTCTTCTCCCTTTACTCTTTTTGGAGGTTACTACAGTACTGCTAATAGCTTAGTATTTAGTTTTTATCATTCTCAAATGTTTTTCATAACCTTAAAAGTATGTATAGTTTAGACTTACATTTTTGATGTAAATATGGTCATTCTGTCTTGGTGATTTTCCCATGTACTTAATAACTTTGAGAAAAACTATTGTATAATATTCCTCAGTCTGTATATAATAGAATTTACTTTATAATTTTTTTGTTTTGGACATTTACATTGTTTCCAATTTTTTCTCTGTAAAGAGAATCGTACTAAACATTTGTCTCATATATTTTTATGTTCACATGGTAGAAATATGTGAAGTAAAGTTATGGAAGTGGAAATCCAGGTTGAAGATGTATACATGTTAGATGTTCAAAGATAGTACTATCTTGTTCTTCATAAAAACTGCCAGAGAAACGTATGCCCACCAACAGTGTGGGAAAGTAGCCATTTCCCATGCCTTTGTCAACAACGGGTAATCCTAGCATGGTGGGAGGCTGCAGGTGGGAAGATTGCTTGAGCTCAGGAGTTTGAAACCAGTCTAAGTGAGAGCTTGTCTTACTAAAAATAAAAAAAATTAACTGGGTATTGTGGCAGGCATAAGGCTGAGGCACGACAGTCACTTGAGCCTGGGACTTTGAGGTTGCCATGAGCTAGGCTGATACCATGGTGCTCTAGACTAGGTAACAGAGGCTATGTCTCAAAAAAATGAGGCTTGGCGCCCAAACTCAGTGGTTAGGGCGCTAGCCACATACACCGGGGCTAGTGGGTTCGAACTTGGCCAGGGCCTGCTAAACGGCAATGACAACAACAATAACAAAAATAGCTGGGGGCTCGGTGCCTGTGGCTCAAGTGGCTAAGGCGCCAGCCACATACACCTAAGGTGGCAGGTTCGAATCCCTCCAAACAACGACAGCTGCAACAACAACAACAAAATAGCCAGCACCTGTGGTCCCAGCTACTTGGGAGGCTGAGGCAGGAGACTCGCTTGAGTCCAGCAGTTGGAGGTTGCTGTGAGCTGTGATGCCACAGTACTCTACCCAGGAGGACAGCTTGAGGCTCTGTCTCAAAAAAAAAAAAAATAGCTGGGCATTGTGGCGGGCGCCTGTAGTCCCAGCTGCTTGGGAGG